AAAAAGTGTAAGAAAATGAAACACTCTTCGAGTTTTTGCTGATTAGTCCAATACCCGCCAGCTAGCCCTGCTTTCCCTCGTTACCTCCTCCAGCTAATGCAACGCAAGGCTGGCGCAGGCAGATCCTTTCGAGTCACGCTAGAGCTGGAGCATTAAATCAGTCCAGGGGATCCAAAATAGCCCTAGACACCGGGGAGCGGTCATCCAGCATTTACAGTGAACAGGCCACATCCCAGGACAAATCCTCCAGCCTCGCTTCTCAGTGCAGCCCTTCCTTTGAGGAAGAAAGTAACGTGCCTGGCCTAGTAGGTCTAATAAAAGATCTCAGAGGTACCCAAAGAACCTGGTATGCCTGGCCTACACCTTTCTAGAGTAGCAGGAAGGGGGAAGGCAAGCTAAGCAGTACAGACAAGGCAGAGATAAGGCCACCGGATGAGAGCACAGTTCAGATAAGCAACACAGCACCGGGAAATTAAAGTTTTCCGGCTGCCACATGCCTGATTTAAGTGCACCCTGCTCAGGAATGAGCACCTGTCTGACATGGCCTCCACAGGCAGTCATCTCGCTGTGTCATCTGCCACGAAGATCAACGTGATAAAAGCTGTCGATGCCAAATCCGATCAGCTGCTGCCCAGTCCGGCCTGTCACGGGCACTGCCAGCAGAATGGGGCAGGGTCTGCATGTCCAAGTTTATGGGGGAGTGGGATTAGGCGCATGTAAGAGTGAAAGATTATGTACGAGTGTCAGAATGGGATTGTGAGTGTGGGAGAATGGGATTATGATCAAAACTGAGTGTGAGAGTGGTATGAGTACATACGAGTCTCAGAGCGGGGTTATGTGCATGTATAAATGGGAGTATCCAAGTGAGACTATAAACATGTAGGAATGGGAGAGTGGGATGATGAGCCTGTATGAGTGTCAGCGTGGGATTATGAGCATGAATGAGAGGGAGAGCCAGACCTGAAGCATATATGAATGTCAGAGTGTGATTGAACATGTATGCATGGGAGACTGGGGTTACAAACATCTATATATGGGAGAGTGAGGTTATGAGCATGTATGAGCGAGAGCATGGGGGTAATGATCATAAAAGGGAGTGGACAGAGAGGGATTAGGAGCATAAATGAGTGGGATTCTAGGCATGAATGAGTGAGAGAGCAGGATATTGAATATGTACGAGTGGTAGAGCGGGATTATCTCTATGTATAAATGTCCGAGTGGGATTCCAAATTTCAAGCAAGAGCAGGTTTATGAAGCTGGGTCAGCAAATTATGAGTACACGCGACTGAGATGGGGATTATGACCAGGTATAAGTGGGAGAGGGAGAGTGGGGCTATGATATGGGTGGGATATGTGGTTTATGAGTAGGAGAATTAAATAATTGTGTGCAAGTGAGAGATGGGATTATGAGGGACAAACAGGAATTATGAGTATGTATGCGCGGGAACGTGGGATATTCAGCATGTATGAATAGGATTATGAGCACATATGCATGGAAGAGTGTCAGAGTGGGATTACGAGTATGTATGTGTGGAAACGTGCAATTACAAATCACTGTGTGAGAGAGAGTATCAAAGTGGGATTACAATCATATGCAAGTGAAGCGGTCAGAGTGGGATTACGAGGAACTACGAGCGTCAGTGGATTCTGAGCATGTATGAGTTGGAGTGTGTCAGAGTGGGATGATGAGCATATAAATGAGAAAGACTGAAAATGGGATTACAAGTATGAATGTGAGAGAGGGTAGGCTTAAGAGCATGTACAAGTGTCAGTTGGATGCTGTGCACATATGAATACCGGAATGGGATTACGAGCATGTATAAATGGAAGGGTGCCAGAGTGGGATTCTGACCATAATGGAGAGGGACATTGGGAGTATGAGCAATGTGTGGGTAGAAGAGTGCCAGAGTGAGATTTTGAGCATGTGTGAGTGGGCGACTAGCAGACTGGAATCATGAGCATGTGCAAGTAGGATGCTAAAACAGGATTACGAGCATGTGTGGGTGGGAGTGGGATTCTGGGCAAGTGTATGTGCTAATATGAGATTATAAATGTATGAATCTAAGTGTCTGAGTGGGATTCTGAGCATGTACGTGTGCTAAAATGAGATTACGAGCATGTGTGAGTGCAAGCGTCAGTGAGATGGAGTGGGCAAGAATGTCAGATCGTATTCCCTAAATTGGGACTATGATCATACGAGTGCTAAAATGGGATTATGAACAGGTATGAGCAGGAGTGTGTCAAAGCAGGATCAATGTGCAAATATGGGATTATCAGCACGTATGAGTGTCAGAGTGGGATTCTGAGCATGTGAGAATAGGATAGTGTCAGAATTGGATTATCAACATGCAAATACGGGAGCGGGAGTTTGAGTGCATTCCTAATCCCAGTCTCCCATTTCTCCATTTATAATCCCGTTCTCCCGCTTCTACATACTCCTACCATTGTCACCCTCGCCCCCAGCCGCACCCACTCTCCTGAATAACTTGCAGCCATGCATCACATTTCCTAGGAGGGAGCTATCAGATGCAAAAGGAATCTGAGAATCATGTGATTTCACACCGCTTCCCTCTAGAGGGAATATTCAATGACAAATATCAAGACATGAAGTTAATCCTTTTTGTAAACTGAAAACTACATTCCAGCAAATAAAATTCACTTACCTGTGCCTTTTCTGGATGGAGATCATTATGCTTCCTGATATGGCGATACCAGGACAGACTCCTAACTGGGGAAGGTTGTTTGGCCCAGATTCTACTGTTGGACCAGCAACTCACAACGCAGGGGCCTATTGCCTTTCACAGGGAAGTGAAGCTTCCTTCAGTTTGTAGCAGCTTCCCTGGATCGGAGCCACAATATGATCAAAAAGCCCCAAACACCACAGCAATCTTTTACACCATGGGTGAGGGAGATGGGGAGCTGCCCTGTCCCATTCCCCCCGCCCGCTGCTTTTTTAAACAGCTACAAGCAGAGAGGCAGAAGGACAATTTGTTCAAGACAAGCGGCAGATCAGTAGACTATGGTTCCTGTCCGATTTAAACATTAAATCAGGATGTTTTGCTCAAGGGAAAGCATATAGCAAATACTCCAGAACAGCAAGCCATCATCTTTGGGGGTGGGGGAAAAAAGCCACGCAAGTTTTAACAATAAACTCCTGGAATTAGCTCACATTATGAACCTCCTCCTTCAAGGGGCCGCGCACGCGCAGGATGCTTACAGCCAAGTGTGTCGCAAACCTCTATTCCATCACGCAAGAGCGAATCATTGCTGTTTTGTGCAAAACAAAGGCTGCAACCAATGTGCAGTACTGTAGTACTAGGAAACCACTTAGCCCAGACCCGGTAGTGCTTTCTCAAAGGGCTAAAGCTCTTTAAAAGCAGCTAATGTGTTTTAGCACGTTCTAGAAGGTCTTCAAGTTATACTAGCACCTGGGATAAATCTTAAATTTTAATTCCATTCAAAAATACCCTCCTTTCCTCTACACCTACACACCCCTTCCTATGCCCAGCACCCACAAGAAACAGGGGAACTAATTACACATAAGGAACGATGAAACTACGTAAAGTACTTGTCGGTTAAAAAAAACTAACAAGGGCGATTCTCTCCTGCACTTCTGCCTAAGTGGTACACTCAGCTATGGTGGGTAAGGCCCCCTCCAAGAAAAGCTCATTTAAATTGACAGGGTAAATGCAACAAGTAAAATATTTCCCCCCAGCTGATGGTCTTTTCAGGAAGTTTGAAAACAACCTGGATTTTCCATGATTGAGTTTTTTTAGTGGAAAGCACTCATTCTAGGAGGCGGCATGTCGATCTGCATGTTCAGTGCTGAGCTGGGGAGAGGGAGAAGCAAAGGGGAAGAAAGAAAATAAATACAGCTGGGGTTTTCAAAGGAAAAAAGAAGATCCTCAGCTCTGATTAAACTCTAAGCTGGGCATCTCACTCCCAACACCTTTGAAAATCCCAGCCAAAGACAGCCCATGTTGTTAGACAGCTGTGCACACATTCAACAATCAGATTAGGTAGTTAACAGAGTAGCTTTATACCTGCAACCTTGAGCTAACAAAGCCAAGGCAATTTGGGCATAAGGAAAAAAACCTGAGATCCAACCCAAAGATTTTTTCATGAAGCTTTTCAGCAAACAGTTTGGTTTTATAGAGTTGAACATCTCTGCTTCTGCAAAGTGACCTCAAGCATTACAGCACGGTGCTGGTTCAGGAAATTCAAGAAGTGACAAGCAATTTCCCTGCCCAAGGTGAGGAAAGTGTAGAACAAACAGTTTGACCAACAAGGATATAATAACAAGGATATTGTTTAACAGGACATTTCCTCAAGAATGCCCATTTAGCTAGAGTTAAGCACTTCCCCAGAGCTTGGATGCTTTTTTATGGTCCATTCAGCAAAAAAGGGCGGGGGGGGAAGGAAGCCAAGAAACAGTTCAGGATCAAGAAACCAGCATCTATTTTAACCGGTTTTTCCCCCTTTTAATGAACGGCATTAATAGCAGCAAGCCAGTACTTGATGCTTCACACCCGGGGCCAGTCTACACTTGCAACACGGCCAGGAACCTGATGTACTCCCACTGGATGCTAGCAGACATCCCAGTATTGCTACAGCAGTTCAGCTGCATCTTGTTCACACGGGAGAAAACCATCCCAACACACGTGAGCCAGTACTGGGGTGGAACTGGGTTTGGATCACAATAGGTCTGTCACAGATGAGCCACATGGACCAGATTTCGAAGTCTTTCACAACCAGAGTCATGTTTAGATGAGCCTCCAAGCTTCATTCATCACAATATACAAATTAAAAAAGAAAGGTGGCAACACAGATGTTGTAACAAGAGTGGGCAAAAGCCTAGAGCAGCCAAAGTCCTATGGGCTGGTCAACAACTAGGCCATGAATCGGAGGCCGGGTAGAGATGATCGGTTCGTTACCTCACCTCTATTAAGTCTTCCCCAGAGCAGCCCCCTACACACTGAAAACTAAGTGGAACGCGGCAGTGATGCTCAACAGGATCTCACGTTTATTATTGAGAAGTGATTAATGGTGAAAAGAAAGGCAACGCCCATTCCTCATTGGCTTAACAAGAAACTGAAGAAACATGTTCACTACACATTTTACAATATTTTTTTTTCCGTCCAAAATTCATTTTCCTGTAAACAAAACAAGTTTTTACCACTGTTCTCAGCTTTCAAATCAAATTAATTCAGACTTAATCTGTAATCTGTATAATGCACAAGAACAGAACATTTCTTAGGACTCCTAGTATTTGACTTTTGAGTAACAAGGGGCCAGAGAAAACAAACCATCCCTTACACACGACCGTGTTGACAATTTCTGTTCGATTCTTCTACGCAAAACAGCCCCCCACCCCTCAAATTCTTCATAAAAATTCCTCTTCTTCCAGTCCAAGGGGGAAAAAATAGATATTCCACGTGCAGCGGTGGAGGTCCAAAAAAAGTCACAACTCGGGGTTCCAAGTGCAAATGTCAAAACCAGGGGGGCGCAAAAGGGGCTGGCAGGAAGGGAGGCGGCAGAATTTAAAAATGAGAGAAAAACAGGCATATGCCTCTTATGGACTTTAAAATCCAGAAAACATAGTAAAAAGACAAAAAACAAAGCGTATGCTCCAAAATCACAACCAAAGCCAAAAGAAAGGGGACAGTGTTTATCTCTACTCTAGCTAGAAGGGATTTTTTTTGTGGTTTTTGTTTTTTTCAGTCCTATGCCTCTGGTGAAACTCCGATACCTTCTTCTGTTTTGTTTTTTTAAACTGCAAGTTCGTAAGAGTCTTTTTTTTCTTTTTGTTTTGTTTTTGAAGTCAATGAAATTAAGAAAAAAAAAGTCCTAATTCTCTCTGCAGTATATATTTTCTTCTTCTCTCTGAAAGATATCCCGAATGCAACCTCTGCTGCAGTCTCTGGGGGAGGGAGAGCCTTTTACTTGACGCGGCCTTGGCGCTCCTGTAGCAGGGAAAGGGGTTGGCGGGGGAGAAAGAGAGAGAGAAAGAAAGTTAGTCCAGAACAACCCTTCCCAATCTCCCAGAATCACGGGGCAATGGGATTTTGTTCCCCAGCATCTCCTACCTGAATAGTTAGGCAGCTATCTAATTTCTGATGGAAACCACCTCTTGACACTCAGTGAACTCTTACAACACGCGTGGTGCATCACAAAGGTCGAATCCGGTTTAAGAAGGCAACGGCTTACGGCTGGTGTCGTGACGCACCGCAGTCACATGCAGCCTTCCAGTTCTTCCCATTTCCCCTTTGTCACGGTTCCCACCATCCCTTCTCTCTGCCTCTTCCTGGCCCTCGTGCCAGCAAAGCCTCTTGCAGAAAGGAAGTGGTAAGGTTGTACAAGTCTGATCACATGAGAAACAGCTCTGACAAATCCAGCCTGCTTTTCCAGTTTTGTGCCACCTGACGGGAGTAACAGGACCAAAAAACAAGGACAGAGAAAGAGCAGCACCGGCAAGGGGTCTCGTTCTCAGAGAGATCTGGGCCCTAGGAGATGGTGGGAAGCTGGTCTGCAGAAAGCAGGTCCCTGAGACAAGTCTCCTGTTCTCAAGCCGGTCGGCAGGCTGGGAATCAATCTAGACATGAAGCAGGGAAGAGGTACAACCCTGCCCTGCACTGACGCTGCCCCACGTGGATTTGTGGCAAAGGCCCATTGCCAAGGGGGTGCAAGTACTCGTGTAGGTCACAGGAGGAGAGAAGACAAAGTGAAAGAGGTACATGTGCCCCAGAACAACCTGCCATCACCTAGCTCAGCCCCTGCGTGTCCTGGCACCATGAAATTCGTGCCTTGCACAGATGTGCGAGTCACAGCAGAAGCTTTTGTTTAAAAAAAAGTGAGTGGGGTGTCACCATGCCGTGTCCACCCAGGCACCAACAGCGGCTTCATGATAGCTCTGAAACCGCAAACCATCCGTCTCACTGCTCCTCACTGGAGGACCTCCCCCTCCCCTAATTCCCAACTGTTTCAAAACTCATCACAATCTCATTCGCCTCTCCGCATCCGCCAAGCCAGCACCCCGCACCCTTCGTTGACATCCTCTACCCCACATCTATGCACCATCAGGGCAGAAGTCTGCAGCCGGCTGAAAACCAGAAGGCTGGTACAGAGCAGAACCGAAAGAGATAGCCAGGGCTGCTGCGTGGACAGGCCCCCTTTTATATTTAGCTCAACTTGAAGATGTTTCACACAGCTGCTACTAAGCTTCCCTCCCCTACCCCAGCCATACAGCGCAGGAGCTCTGCTGCCAAGCTTGCTCCACCGAGGATTATGCATGCAGCAGGCAGACGCTCCCTTACACATGCACCAAGCAGTGTTTAATGAGCAAGACTGCAGGATTTAGTTTTGACGTGCTATCGATATATGGAGTTCTGCCTGATCCTTGTGCCCCACCGCTGACCACGTCTCCATGCAGGCCCTAGTGATCACGTGCCAAAATTCACAGAAAGCTGGAACCTCACCAGAACTATTTTGGACCCTGTTCCTTCCCTCTAGAAGCATTAAAGCACCAGCACGGCTGGCCCACCGGCTCGCACTGGACAATGCCAGCTCCAGATGCTTGTTACACCAGTGTCACCCCCCCTAGCATGGCACACCACAGAGTACATACAGTTCAGTAGAAAAGCACGTTTCCCCAATTTAACCACAACCAAGGAAAACCATTCTTCCACTGGGGTAAGAGTGGCCGTACAGGCAATTAAACCTGTATCGCTTCTTGCATAACCAAGGGATCTTTTCCTGCAGACAAGGCTTGTTCCTCAACCTAAAACAGTAACCGTCTCTCCCCTCTACCACACAGAGAGCAAAGCAAGCAATGCTTTAGGTTCAACACTTCTATCCTGGGAGCATTCAACGCATGGAGCATTGGCTGGGCTATGCCTAGCCACCCTCTGCCTGTGACAAAGCCCTCTCTGATGCTGCACTTGCTGGCATTTCAGCTTTTAGACGAAAAGCGCTGGACTAAAATGCAAGGACTGCTGAGTACACCCAGCAAGTAGCCACAAACAAGTGAAGCAGCTCTAATTCTTTTCATAGGAGAGGTCCGCTCAAGTTCAGGCAGGCTTTATGTGCCCATTTGGAGAGGGAGGGGGGGGGTGGAAAAAAAACCCCTCAGCAAAAGAGTCCCTTAATGGAGAATCAAACTGGGCTTGATCCTAAAGAAAGCCAAATGCTTGAGGGGAAGCCACAAAACAAACTGCGGTTGCCAAGTCCTGTCCTTCTCTGCCTCCTGCTATCCAGCACATTTTGCCAAGCAAGGACAGATGGCAGCATGATGCATCCGTGCAGGAAGAAACCAAAACCCCCCGAGCTCAAGCCTTCGTCTTGGTGGTTTTAAGCCGGCGGCCAGGGCTCCGCAGCACTGTCCCCCCACTCCAGGCTGGAGTGGGAGCGCCCTGGTTTGCCCCACAGATGGTGGCTGCAGTCTCTGCTGAGTCCTTCAGCCAATTAGCTGACCAGATGGACCCACAGCAACCGGTCTAATTAGTCACATCTCCTTCCCTGCTGTGCAAGGAAAGTTACTCCAAAGACCGCAGTGTGGTAAAGAGCAGGGAGCGGGACAGACAGCAGAGAAAAAGGGAGCAAAGGGCTAAGGAACCGTCAATGGGCCCCGAGTCAAGAAAATCCCAGGAAAGGAGAAACAAATGTGATGCAGAAACAGGGGTGCTGGTTGTAGCCATGTTTGTCTTAAGGACACAGGCAGACAAGGGTCTTTGGGTAGATGTGATATCTTTTATTACACCAGCTAGAGTGGGAAAAATGTTCTTTGCAAGCTTTTGGGCACAAACACCCTTCAGCTTACAAAGAACAGTTTTTCCAACTCTTTAGCTGGTCTGATAACAGACTTCACATCTACCCAAAGAACCCCACCATGCAGAAACAGAGCTCCCCTCCTCCCTCACCCCACACACACGCAACCTGGAAAAAGGGACAGACTGGAGAAACAGGAGAAGTAAACTTTACGGCCTGATGTACTGCAAATCTCCTGAATTCAACGCTCAGCATAACAACCTGAAGAAGCCCAAAGAAGTGCCAGTGCCCCATGGACAAAGGCAAGCCTCTGTACTTGCCCAGCCCTGCTGCTTCAAAGAGCAGCCAGAGGACTTGATAACACAGCAGCTGTTCCAACTTGCAGCCCACCAGGCCCTGATAAAGGTCCACGGGAACACGAGAGACTGCTAAAGCAGCCCCCAAATGGGGAGTCTCAAGAAGTGGGTAGGGTGGTGCATACGGCAGGAACCAACTGGTCCTGTCCTATATGTTTGACATACGAGGGACAAACAAAATAGCATAGCATTTCCATGAGCTTAAGCTGCATTTTCCAAAAGACTTGGGTCACTCTTTGTTGATCCAAGGCAGGAGGAAAAGGTCTGAGCTGTCAGTGAATGGTCGGGCCACTGCATGAGAACCCAGGGGCGTCTCAAAGACTATTCAACTCCTCTGGAGATCACACAGCAGTGGCCTGAAGACAGCAGGCTGGTCACAGGGCACTGCCTCATTTCAAGCCACTCAGACCCATGAGTTTCTCACACCTTACTTTTCCATGCGACCGCAGGGATGTCAGACGTTTCGGAGTGACAGAGCGGGGGGCACGTGATGTCGCTGGGATGCGGTCGGCGCTACAGAAGTTGACAAATCCTTGCATTAGGCCATTCTGCCTCCTCTTAGGACACAAATGGGCACATTCTTACCTGTGCAAGCGAGTCCAGCTGAGATTGATGGGAGATGTGCACTCTGCTCCATAGCAGCATTTAGACCATCTTCAACAGCTTTTGCTGGAATAACATTTCCCCCCACCCCAGCTTACAAACATTTTGTTCACTTAGTAATGAAAAGACCTCCCACTTAGCTACGCGAGTGATGGCAGCTGGGCCCACCGGCAATGTCCTGATTCTAGAGGTGCGCTGCCAGGCTCTCCCCAGGATCAGCTAAAAGTGTGCTTATGGTCAGCACAGGGAATGCACTAAAATAGCCCCATGTTATTCTGCTTATCTGTGCAGCTCTGGAGTCTTAATTGTTTGTTTTACAAGCAAAGACAAGTCTACACCATTGTCAGTAGGCAAGGTCCAACAGCTGCAGAAGAGCGTTGCACCCTGTCCTCACAGGCCCACCAGTAAAACCTGCTTCCCTTAAATTACAGATTTTTTTTTTTTACTGCTAGCAACAGATACTGATTAAATGATGAGAACTGCACTCCCTCTTGTAACTGGGCTCCTGACCTTGCAAAAAAATCCATATAGTTACTGTATTAATATCAAGTCTTCATTAAGACTTCTCCCCTTCTCCAACAGCAATTAAAAACTAAGTCAAACCATGATTAAAAAAGGCCCTGCACAGCTGGCCGCCGGGTAACCAGACACAGAGCCATCAGGGAGAATGTATGCCGAAGGCGGACAACCAGGTCGTGGAAGTCCGAACTGCAAGACACTGAAAAGCACTCTACTCTGGCAAGCTTCAACTGGCACCATGGAAAAGGAGGGGAGGTAGGACTCTTAACTGATGCAAAATGCAGAGAACATGATGGCATTTTAATATCAGACCAAGTTTGCAAGAAGGCCTGGCAATTTGCAAGTTCTGGCTTCCTCTTAACAGACAACATCACTTAAGGTTTTCCTAGGTTGCCTTTTACTCTGACATTTAGTCAAGAAACAGATAAGAAGTCATGCAGAGAGAACAGGGAACAGAAAAATGCCAGCACAGAAGTTTGGCTGTAGTCAAATCTTCACTCGTTTATAAATGTATACAGCACCAATTGCTCCAGTAGCTTGGTATTTTACCATCAAACCACCAGCTTTGAGGGGGGATGAGGAGAAGTGAGGAGGGATGGATAAAGGGGATGTCAGAAGGGGTGTCCCAGAAGTCCTGGAAGGACTGAGCTTCTGCATCTGCAGTGGCAGTCATGTGCAGTCGGATGGCCCAAGTCGTGAGAAAGCAGCAGCCAGGCTAAGTC